AGCCTCTTCCGCATCGGTGGTTGGTGCATAAACTTGGATTACTGTGATGTTGAAAGGTCTGTCTTGGATACGTATTGAAATCATTCTATCATTTTTGAGATTGTATCCCAGTAGAGCTTTTGTTGACTATGAGGGCTACTCCATTTCTTCTACGGGCTTCTTGCCCACAATAGTAGATACGATAATTGTCTGAATTGAATTCGCCCATTCCCGTCCATTTTAGTTCACTGACGCCAAGGTTGTCAATATTTATTCTTGCCATCTCCTGTTTGACCACATCCAGCTTACCAAGGTTCATAGATCTTACATTCCAGGTACCTATGCAGTATTTTTCTTTGCAGCTCAGGCACGTCCACAGCTGAGCATCCTTTCAGCTTTGGCCCAACCACTTCATTAGCTCTGTAGCTACTTGTCCTCCGCTCTTCCTCAGTCGCATGTTGGACGTCTTCCGACCTGAGGGGCTCATCTTCCAGCGTCATATCTTTTAGCCTTGTGCATATTACGTAAATAGATACCCAATATGGTATATTGGCTAGAGTGGCAAGTTCAAATCCCTGCTCAGTCATGGAAACTCACTAGGAGTGTGGAACTGGAAAAATCACTCCTTAAATGTCTCACTTATCTTGAAAGCCCTATTAGAATCACGCGAAGTCAGTTCAAGTTTGACACCTCATAACGCCCACAAAGAAAAGACACAAATAAATGATAGGCCACTTAATCTACTATAGCCAAAGCAAAATGTCTGTTGCATCTTGACAATTTTATAGTGATAGGAGAGTTCCACTTCATAAAAAATTTTATTTGGTGAACTTTGCTAGCAAATGTATATTGATGTATACATTAAATATACATTAATGAAAAGTTTCTAGATAAATATCCAGTTAAACATTTACATTTGGTTTAAACTGGATTTTTAATTGTTTGATAAAAATTTGGATCAGACTTACTATTTCTGGATATGCAAAATATTTATGTCTGTAAAATCAACATGGATACCTCTTATCTCCTTTAAAAATATAACTCAGCACAGTCATTACAAAACTCTGTCTCTTCAGAGTAATCGGCCACAGTAGAGCACAAAGTAAGCCATACGGATGATGGATTGTAGTGCTGGTTAGTTTTACTGACATGCCATCTCAAGTGCACAAAGTGTACAGACTAGACATCCCTGTTACTGAATAATTCTATCTTCCTGGTAACATTAGAATTCATTATTATTGTTCTTAAGAAAACAACATTCTGGGGTTCCAAAATATATGAGTTGCAATATTTTGGACTATGTTCTTAGATAGTAGCCTGAAGGCTTAGTTCATAATAAAATCAATGTGTATCTTTATAGGTATCAGTTTATAGACTCATAGGCTTGCAGTGGAACTACAAAGGCCTCAAAGGTCATTGACTCACTATCAAGCTAGCATCTCTCTGTATGGGAAAAATTAATTGCAGACTAAGTAGTTCTTTCTTCCTTAAATTGTCTAGATCTAGGATTTAAATTTTCATGGTTCAAATCATCACCTCACCAAAGGGCCTTTAAATGCCGAAAATGGGGTAGTAGAAAGAATGGTGGGCTATCCATAGCAATATTTGCTAGTGATAGTACTGTTTTTCTTCCTATGCTAAATTATGAGATATGCATATACTGTACTGTAGCAATGTAAAAGTTTTCAGTTATAGCTGCAAATAATTTTTCAGTTATAGCTGCAAATAATGGAAATATATCTAAAAAATATTTAATGAATACAACATATTATTAAGCTGTGTTGTATGTATAGAGCTTTTCTAATAGTAACCATGCAAAAGTTTAGAGCAGGCTTGTCCAACCTGTGGCCCGAGGGCCACATGTGGCCCAGGTCAGCTCGTAATACGGCCCAATGCAATTTTTTATTTTTAAAGAAATTCCAAAGTTGCAAGTTACACTGCTGGTGCTTGCGGCCGGAATGCGGCCGGGGCATGTCACAACGGGGGGGGGGGGGAGAGAAGGAAGGAAGGAGTGGGAGGGGAGAAGGGGCCTGCGTGACTGCATTGCGCCATCCCTGTCAATAGGTGGACCCCTTCCCGGCCCCATAAAGCCACCGGAGTTGAAGCTGGCAGCCTCTGCTGTCTGAGATCGCAGCTGCTGGCAAGCGCGCTTGGAGTGGGGCTGCGGAGGACGGCTAGGGCTGCCCCCCCCATGCGGCCCAAACCAAATTTTCTTCTTCTAATGTGGCCCAGGGAAGGTGAAAGGTTGAACACCCCTGGTTTAGAGGATACAAACCCTAAAGGTGCAAACTCTAAAGGCTGGTATAGAGCATCATTGTGTAAAATAAAAATAAGTATCTGAGAGAGCACATAAAATGAGGTGTTAAAAGGTAACACGTGGGGGCGCTGTGGGCTAAACCGCAGAAGCCTGTGCTGCAGGGTCAGAAGACCAAGCAGTCGTAAGATCGAATCCACGCGACGGAGTGAGCGCCCGTCGCCTGTCCCAGCTCCCGCCAACCTAGCGGTTCGAAAGCATGCAAATGCGAGTAGATAAATAGGTACCATCTCGGTGGGAAGGTAAACAGCGTTCCGTGTCTAAATCACACTGGCCATGTGACCACGGAAAGATTGTCTTCGGACAAACGCTGGCTCTATGGCATGAAGAGCGGGATGAGCGCTGCCCCCTAGAGTCGGACACGACTGGACAAAAATTGTCAAGGGGAACCTTTACCTTTACCTTTAAAAGGTATTTATAATATATTTTGAATAATATTTAAGAGCACCTTTAATCCTGTGTGAAATTGATGGCAGATTAAGTTGAACAAGTACATCAGAGGACTTGATGATCCATAGGGTCCCATCTAGCCCTGCAATTCTAAAATGATGATGATGATTTAGTTAAATCAGCCAACAGTATGTAATTGAAAGGATTTTTAAAGTATTGAATGTAGACTTTTGTATATGAACCAGCTTTAAAAAATTCTTTATTTTGAGTGAGAAGCATTTAAAAACCATATGCACCCATACACATTCCAATTAATTTTCCCTCAGTAGCAAACAGTTGCATGTTTACCATATTGGATATACAGAAGTTGTTTTAGAATCAGTCATTTGAACACATTCTGTACTGGGATTTTGATTATTTATTATTACCCAAATGACTCACCCTGGATGTCTTACAGAATTCTAGAGTTGAAGGAATATCAAGGGCATCTAGTTCAACTCTCCGTGAACTAGCCAAGAGCAAAGTATAAGGAGAAAACAGTTCAAGTACAAGTAATACATTTCCATGCTATTAGGCAAAGGAGTACTAGGTTAGAACCACAAATTTTTGGATTTAACATTGCTGCCTCTATGGCAGCCTTTACTAATCTCATGTTTGTCTCATAATGTTAAAGCACTTTGCTGTTAGCATCTGTGTTCATTGTGTATAATTTTTGAGAAGGTAGAGTGCATTGGCGGAAAGAATGTTTAATGCGTCACCATGCACTGATTTTTCACATGCAAATATTTCCCCTAGCCAGGACCCTCAAGGAAGCTCATGAGGAATTTCCAAGGGGCAATCAGTGGGTCCATCAGAAGCACTTAGCCACTTGGTCCTTCTACATGCATCTTGTATCCCTTGGTATTAAGATCCCCAAATGAAACTGTTCTCCTGATGATTAAAAGCATCAAGTTGCCTTAAATAAGCTAGAAGGCTTTTAGTGTGGTGCCTGCAGAGAGAAAGTTTTCTGCTCTTTGTTTTTAAGTGTGTTTTTGTATGACTAGTTTGATTCTACTAATAAAGGTAAAGGTTTATTTTATGTTCTTTTGATACTTAGACTAGGCTTTCACATTTGAGGAAACCCTTGTCCAGCAGGCCGAGGCAAAGAGGCAGTCACGAAAGCAGCAAAATCATGGAGCTGGGCAGGGGACAGATTGTATTTGTCTTCAGTGTGGAAGGGATTGTCACTCTCGAATTGGCCTTCTCAGCCACACTAGACACTGTTCCAAGTTCTCCATACAGAGCATGTTACCATAGTGTCTCGAGACTGAAGGATGCCTAATCTTCACACTGAGCCATTCGTAATACATTAACTTTATATAAGCTTATTTGGATGACAAGTTTGAATCTGGTGGTTCTTTCCCATACGTAGAGGGCTTTTCTTTCAGTAGGCATCTCTGCTAATGAGGGAGAGGTAATTCCTCCCTCCCCCCTCCAGCCCTTACCTCTTAAAATCTTCTGCGGAAGATGAGATGGGAAATTATGGAGTGTGGTTTATGGTCTTGATCAAAATTTCTTTCAGAAACTAGGATAAAATTGAATTCAATCTAGTTTTTCAAAGGATGGGTTGGAAAGATAATAAGGAAGTAAACTGGAAGATGGAGACCTGGATGTGCATTTTTGTTTAAGTAGTGTTTACTTGTACAGTTGCATTTTCTCTTGACTTTTAGGGAAGATTTCAGGACATGTTTTTTACAAATCTGAAAAGCTTCATTTGTAAGGTAAAGGTAAAGGTTCCCCATGACATTTAGTACAGTTGTGTCTGA